ACTCCTCAAGTTACTAGGACATTTTTCAGGAGCCCCAAGGAGTCTGATGTACAGTTTTAGGGGCAAGGATTGAGCAAGACATTCCACAGAGGGATGGCGGCTGAGCACAGTAGGAAAGCAAGGAAGGGCAATTGCTATCCTGGCCTCAACTTGCTCTTTTCCAGAAAGCATTTCTGGGGAGCCAGTGACCATACTTCATCTTTCATCAGGAATGTCTGAGACTGGTGACTCATGACTTTAATCCCAGCACTTTAATCCCAAGTACCAGACCAGCTTGATCAACACAACAAGTTCTGTGCCAGCCAGTACTGAGACAGAGAGAGAGAGAGAGAGAGAGAGAGAGAGAGAGAGGAAGCAGGGAGGAAGGAAGGTGGGGAGGAGGGATGGAGGAAAGAAAGGAAAAAGACAGGAAAAAAGGAAGGAAGACGGGAAGAAAGAAAGAGAGCGGGAGGGAGGGAGGAAGGAAGATGATTTGCAACATGGAAAGTCGCACACTCCCAGAAATGTGAACACTGAAAGGCCTTGAGCTGGGCACCCAGGGAGCAGGTTTCTTTCTCCCAACTTGCTGAGTACCAGTTTGCCGGGCACCGACTTGTTGGGCAGCCGCGTCTGTCTCTGGAACAAGATCCTTAATGTCTCCATTAAGGTTCTGAAACTTTTCCAAGAGATGACACAGGCGAAAGAGCTCTGAGCATCACCAGACACAGGCGTTATCAAGAGCAAAACCACAAAGTTCTCTTTACAATTGCCATCACTTCAGGAAGGGCAGCCATGTTCCTTGGGAGGTTACAGAATACCCACGGGCATTAGCTGGGCTGCTGGTAGAAACCAGGGAGTGCTGGGTTCCTCTGGGCTATAAAGGGGCAACTGTGAGCTAGGACCTAGAAGGACAAGTATGAGAACCGGGATAGGAGGAAGCCAAGCAGAAGCCAGCTGCTGGTCAAAGCCTGGAGAAGCCTCAGGTAGAGGTGCTGAGGGATGCAGTGGCCAAGGCAGGCTGCACGGCATTCAGTCTGTGGTTGTTCACAGATGCTTGGTACACCCCTCTGGTGGTGCATCCCTCTGGCGGTCACCCACCCAGTCCTTGATGAGCTCTCCGCATCTACCAATGCTTCCTCGAGCATATGTGTTTCGGTGGTGTGGGAACCAGGAAGAGGCGTCGGTTCATATGTGAGTAGTCAGCCCAGTGTCCCCCACAGAAGCCGTGACTAGGAAGAAAGGGGTGCCTTCTAAGTGGCTCCCCACATTTGCTAGCCAGGCTTGGAAGGCTCCAAAGCAGGCAGGGCATGGGAAGGGTTGGAGCTGATTTCAAAGGCATAGCCAAGCCTGCCAGCATGAGCAGCTCCTGCCTGGTTCCGGTCTAGTTGCCAGTGTGTCGTTGATGATGGTCAGGAGTCTGTATTACCACCTGACCACCTTGATGACATGTATCCTGAAAATGGCTGTGTGGATACATAATGGCAATTTAAAACTGAATGTGGACAAGACAGGGCTATAAAAAGAGTCCGGTGTCTCTGCTCATTTTGTAGTCTTCCATTTCTTGGGAGGCAGGCAAGCTCAGCCCCCTATCTTTCTACTCCCCTCAGCCTCCTTATCTCACCTCCTTCCATCTCTCATCTTGTCCCTCTACTCCAGAGCATCAACCCAGGGTCCTGTCACCTGGGCAGTCAGTTACTTCGCTGTCCCCTCTCACCTGTTCGGCCCACTGTTGGCTGCCATATGTAAATACGACCCTTTGTTGTCTTTCTGTAACTCCTGACCACTTAAACAGAGTGAAATACGAGCTCCCAAGGTGAGCGAGCATGACCAAATCCAACCCAGTGGGCACCTGCCTACAGCCTTGGCAACCCCCACACTTCCTGGGTCCCGTTGAGCCTTTGCTCTGCAAGGGACCTGCACTTCTGGAGTCCTTGCATTGTCACTGGCCTCCCGGCTTGGGACTCACACTCTGTGGGCTTAAAGCAGTGATGCTCTGGAGTGCTGTCTGTGCCGGTACCCCCTGCCTCCAAGCGGTGACAGCCCCCATGGCTCACATACAGGAACTCCCTAGGGACAAGAGCCAGCTGCCTACCTTGAGTCTGCATTTGCATACCAAACATTGTGTTTTTTATTTAGGTATTATGCAAAAATCAATAAAAATGGAAGCACTTCCCGTAGAAGCATAATTCATAGTTTAGAGTCAAACTGAAGTAGAATGGAGACAGTGTCAACTCTCCACACCCAAACTTGGAAATCCTTTTATTCTGATGACTGGAAGGAGGGACATGGAGACAGAGGCAGGGGGTACTGGTGCAGACACCTCGTTTCCTCCAGTCCTTCCCTCCGTCCCGTCCACTGCCTGAGGGAGGGCCTCAGGGTACTACAGATGGGTCCTGAGCACCCCATTTTTTGGAGTCAGTCTTCAGTTCTCCTGTCAGATGGAATATGATGTATAACTCCCACTTTGATGTAAAGAGTCATTCACCAATAACTTCTTAAATTATTCATAGCTACTACAAGGTGATGTTTTTGAACTAAAATACCAGGCTCCTAGAGTTTGCTGAGGATGCCAAATAATTTTCCACTAGAAAGCTGGGCACTGCGGCTCTTGGAAGGCCCACACCCTGCTCTTGAAAGTGTGAGCTTTTCCAGGTAGAGGAAAGAACAGTCATGAGCTATGCCACCTGAGCTTTGTTTGGTTTTGTTTGACACAGGGTTTCTCGGTGTAACCCTGGCTGTTCTGGAAGTCTCTATATAAGCCAGACTGGTCTCAAACTCACAGAGATTCATCTGCCTCCACGTCTCCAGTGCCACCACATCTCGTTTGATGTTTTTTAATCTAAAAACAATTATTTTGAGTCTAATATGCATAGGGCATGAGATGTGAAGGTTAAGGTGACTGAGCCTTACATCGAGCTTATTATAGCAATGGTCTGGGGTAAAGGAGGGCCTGCAGGCTGTGAAGGACTTCAGGGGAGGATGTGGATGGCAAGCAAAGGATTTCTGGTGATTTGTAATTATGTATTATGACTGATTTAGCTTCTTCAACAATAAAATTTATTATGGGAGCATCTATAATGCACACACATGTTAATACTGTATGTGGGCCAATAATTTTTCATTAGCTTGATATTCATATATTGTTGTTTAAAAATACATTATGTCAGCCGGGCGGTGGTGGCGCATGCCTTTAATCCCAGCACTCGGGAGGCAGAGACAGGCGGATCTTTGTGAGTTCGAGGCCAGCCTGGTCTACAAGAGCTAGTTCCAGGACAGGCTCCAAAACCACAGAGAAACCCTGTCTCGAAAAACCAAAAAAAAAAAAAATACATTATGTCCATTAAACTTGTTGCTAAAGAAGATATCTACATATGTAAAGCATATTTACATATCTATGTATTTGTTTTGTGCTGCTTGGTCGATATTTCCTTTGTGAATCTCTGTGAGGTTTTCTGTTGTTTGCTTGTTTAGTGCTGAGAATTAACCCTAGGCTTCCAGAGGTATAAGCTACATCCCTAGCCCACGCCTCTTTAAATAACATGCGATATTTTACTAAAGTAAATGGGTTGATCAAGTTCCTGGTAAGTGAATGTACTGACATTGTTTTATATACAGAATTATAAAATGACTTTTTTGTGCAGGCGTTGAGACAGGGGCTCTCTACGGATCCTTGGATGTTCTAGAACCTCATTATGCAGAAGAGGCTGGTCTCGAACTCACAGAGATCCACCTGCTTCTGCCTCTCAAGTACTGGGATTAAAAGCCTGGCTATAAAATGTTTTCAGAAAAAACCCCTTGAAGAAGTTTCTGTTCTGCTGCAGTGACGTAGGGGAAGGCACCGTGATTGTATCCCTATTCTGTATTCTGCACTGGCTTTCTGGCCCACTGTCTAACGAAGCCATCGTGGTTAGTGTTCCATTAAAAATGATGCTGGGTCAGAACGCAAATCCTGTAGAGCTAACAAGGTGAGGCACTTCTGCATTATCAATGGTCAGCGTCATTGTTGATTAAACCCGTTAGGGGCTAGCTACGATGCCTGCGTGTGTTAGCATAGTGTATGGGGACAGTACTGGACTGGCAGTTGGCCACACCACCATACTGCTGCATGCATGTCTGTCAAGCTGATAATTTATCAAACCAGGACAGCTGCACATTAATCTTGAATCTGATTTATTTTCTCATAAGATTGAACTCTGTTGATACATGCTCAGCAATCAATACCTTATTGCTTGCCTAGCAAAATTGTCTGCAAACAGTTAGGGGATGTATCTATTTGCCAGGAAAATTGAAGGTGAGGGAAGAAATGGAGGAAAAAAGGGAGATGCAGAGAGAAGGGAGGATGTCTATGAGTTCCAAGCCAGCTACAAAGCAAGTTCCAGGACAGCCAGGGCTATTATAGAGAGAAACCCTATCTCTAAAAACCAAAAACCAAAAGATTAACTTTCCAGAGACCAAAAGCAGATGGCTCAGTCAAGATCTCCTACTAGCCTAACTAACACCCAAGGCCTCTGGAGGGAGGTAGGTGCCTTGTAAATCCCAAACACAGGAAACTGAGAGACAAAGGTACCAAGAGCTGTGGCGGTCAATTCTTTCATCTGACTGCACCAAGATGCAGCCTGTGTTTATGAAGTTAGCATTTTGCTCGCCCCAGCCCAGAGCCGTGAGGTCCTCTAACTACTGAATACCAAATGTCACCATCACTACCCAGACAGAGTTAACACCTTACACTTTACACATCTCACTCCCAACCAATCAGCCTGAGAGATGAACTTTATCATCCCTGGCACACACACTGGAGAGGTAAAGAGATGGCTGAGATCACCCAGCAGCAATGGCACAGCAGACTCTTCAAGGCCCTTGTTCCTCCAGTTGCCCCTGACAGTGTACCACAGTCTCAGGCAACAGTCCCTCAGCCCTTGCCTGAGAGATTGCTCGTTTGGCCACATGCCTAACACCAACATGGACGGATGACTACAGTGGAAAAAACAAGATGCTGTCCTTAGGAAAGACGAAGCTCTTACCTGGACTGCCGGGGTGTTCGATGCAAGCCCCTGGGGTGACGGCAGTGGACTGAGTGCTGTGCTCAAGCACAGCTGGGGTGAGGCCTTGCTCGCCCACGTACCCTCACTCACCCTGAAAGGCAACAGGCACCAGCCTGACCATACTTCCTCTTTCTGGTCAGCCCATGGCTGTCATCCCCGTTCCAGGGAAGCTGACTACCCCAGGTTTTCTTGAAGCTAGAATCTTCCCAGGGCTTCTCGTGGCTCCGGCAGAGACCCACAAAGTCTCGTCATGGGGTGGAAGGGCGTTCCAGGATGGGTCAGGCTCCAGAGGGAGTGAGTGAGGGGTTCCCATGGGGGAAGTCTCCCTTGGACATTCTTAGGCACAGTCGTGTGGGGCTCAAGAAGAGAGACGGGTCCCTGAGTCCACCCAGAGAGGCATGATGGGAGACAAGTGGCAGATACACCATCCCACAAGAGTGACTCTCTAAGCCCTAGAGCTCCTGGTCCAGCTTCTGCTGAGGTGGCAAGGAAAAGGCTGCCAGTTTCTGAGAGAGCATAGCCGAGGCTGGCCTTGAGTGTGTGATCTTCCCACCTCTGTCCTCCAGGTACTGGGATCACAGGTGTATGCCACCACACGCAGGCAGTGGACCGTTGGGATTGAGTTAAGTCATTCCCTGCCATGCTGTGGGAGAGAATTCCCAGGGATGCTCACAGACTCTGAAAATGGAAGCCTGGGGTGTGGAAACGAGAAACCACTCTGCAGAAGTAAGATCTCACCATGAGCAGTCACGTCAGGGTGGTTCAGATGTGCTTGAGAATGCCCTCCAAGGGAGGGGCTGCCCTGGCACCCCAGAACAATGATGGCCACCAAAGTGACTGGCAAAGGTTCCCCCACCTTTCTAGGAGATCCCTGGTGTATAGCATTTACTAGTGTTTACAGAAAAAAAAAAAACCAAAACCTGATCATGGCCAATTTCAAAATATTAGCGTGGCATCAAGGGATTGGAATGGGGAGGAGCGTGCATCTAGACAGCTCTCCCAGGCCTTCTGGGCCGACATCGTTGCGTTGCTAGAAGCCATTGTTGAGCGCTGTTGCGGGCTAATTCTTCAGTGTTTCACACGCCTTATCTCAAAAGATCTTCGCTTAATTGGATGATTTCCTTCATTTCTTAGAATCCTGAAGCTCGTGAAGGTCACGCCAGGGCTGAGGTTTACTTGCCAGGAGGTGACCTTCAGCTCAGACCGCCCACTGTGAACCTTGTGCTTGTCCCCTTAGACTCCTCTGAAATTTAGTCGCTCAAAAATTGCTCCAACTTAGGTATGGTGGTGTGTGCTTGCCATCCCAGTACTGGGGAGGCAGAGGCAGGAGGATTGCCACCAGTTAAAGGTCAGCAAAACAAACAAACAAACAAAAATCCTACCTTTTTTTTTTTTTTTTTTTTGATTTTTCGAGACAGGGTTTCTCCGTAGTTTTTGGTTCCTGTCCTGGAACTAGCTCTTGTAGACCAGGCTGGCCTTGAACTCACAGAGATCTGCCTGCCTCTGCCTCCCCAATGCTGGGATTAAAGGCGTGCACCACCACCACTCGGCAAAATCCTACCTTTTAAAAAGCAATTTAAATTTATTTTTATTTTTTGGTTTTCCAAGACAGGGTTATCTCTGTAGCTTTGGAGCCTGTCCTGAAACTAGCTCTTGTAGACCAGGTTGGCCTCCAACTCACAGAGATCCTCCTGCCTCTGCCTCCTGAGTGCTGGGGTTAAAGGCGTGCACCACCACTGCCCGGCTTAAAAAGCAAGTTTAAAGTTACCTCCTGAGAAGTGAGTCAGTGCTCCTGTAGGTATGGCTTAACCCAGGCTAGCGAAGCTATGGTCCTTGCTTTGTGCTCTGTTCATCCACTGTTTTTGCATCCTTTGAGGTCCCCAATCCAGTTGTGGCACTGCAAACTCTATAGACATACTGTATTCAACAACTTGAATCAAGTCAAGTTCAAACCCTAGCAAGCAGAAGACCAAAATTCTGGATTCAATTTGTCAGTAACTTCCATGCAAACCTCTCCCTTCCAATTTAGTTCTCTTGTTTGTAAAAACAAGTTTTCAACAGATAAACATTAAGTTGCTCTAGAGGTTCTGCTATGAGATCTTTCTTCTGACCCACCTCCATCTTGACTTTTTGATAAATAAAAATTTCGAGCCGGGCGGTGGTGGCGCACGCCTTTAATCCCAGCACTCGGGAGGCAGAGGCAGGCAGATCTCTGTGAGTTCGAGGCCAGCCTGGTCTACAAGAGCTAGTTCCAGGACAGGAACCAAAAGCCACGGAGAAACCCTGTCTTGAAAAATCAAAACAAAACAAAACAAAACAAAAATTTGCATATTTGAGATACACATGTAGCCGGGCGGTGGTGGCGCACGCCTTTAATCCCACCACTCGGGAGGCGGAGGGAGGGGGATCTCTGTGAGTTTGAGGCCAGCCTGGTCTAGAGAAAGAGTTCCAGGATGGCCAGGACTATTACACAGAGAAACCCTGTCTCAAAACAACAACAACAAACAAACAAAAAAACAAAAAAAAAAAAACCAGAAACACAATGTAATGTACGACTGGATAAGCCTGTGCTTTGTGAAGAGATAGCCACACGCAAGCTGCCTAACAAATCCATCACTTTACCATGGGTTTTATTTATTTTTTAATATTTATTTATTATGTATACAATATTCTTTCTACGTATATGTCTGCAGGCCAGACGAGGGCACCAGATCTCATTACAGATGGTTGTGAGCAACCATGTGGTTGCTGGGAATTGAACTCAGGACCTTTGGAAGAGCATGCAATGCTCTTAACCGCTGAGCCATCTCTCCAGCCCTACCATGGGTTTTAAAATCAAGTCAGGATTCATTTCTAAGCATGTCGCAGCATGTGTCCGTCTATGTGAGCATTGCTGCATGTGTGCAGCTGTCCCTGGTGGAGTTGTGAGCAACCAGATATGGGTGCTGGAGCAGGGTCTGGGTCCTCTGCTCCTGCAGAGCCCTCCCTGCAGCCCCTCCTTGCTTTCAGTGTGAGGAAACCGAGGGCAGACTCGCTGAATTTCAAGCTGCCCAAAAGTCTCCCAAACTTCCCGCTTTTATGTTTTTAGTTCTGGAGTGTGAACGCAGGACACAGCCCATGCCAGGCAATATTCCACCACCCAGCTCCAGCTTTCTTTTCAATTTCTAGTCTGAGACAGGGTGTCACTAAATTTATTGCTAAACTTTGAACTCCTTGTGAACCCAGACGGGCCTTGAGGAGCCTGCCCTTCTGCCCTAGACTCCAGCATACACAAAAGGCCATGTTTTTTTTTTTTTTTTTTTTTGGTTTTTCGAGACAGGGTTTCTCTGTAGCTTTGGAGCCTGTCCTGGAACTAGCTCTGTAGACCAGGCTGGCCTCGAACTCACAGAGATCCGCCTGCCTCTGCCTCCCGAGTGCTGGGATTAAAGGCGTGCGCCACCATTGCCCGGCTAAAAGGCCATGATTTTAATATGTGAACTTCGAGTGCTTCCTTTTTCAGGCCTGGTGCTGCACAGGACAAGGATTAAAGAATCAGTCGCATTGCCTACCACAGAGAGTCCCTGGGAGCTGGGGACATAGCCCAGAGATATGGCAGGCAGATCTCTTGTGAGGCCAGCCTGGTCTACCAAAAAAAAAAAAAAAAAGTGCAGGTTACAGAACCGAACGGATCCAAGTAGTACCGTTTAGTCTAGGCCTTCAGGCATGCATAGTAGCTCCAGAAGTGGAAAGCATGGGGACAAACAAACCCCGGGTGGCACGGGAGAAGATCGTGCGGCTGACCAGGATGGAGCATATTAGGCAAGTGGGTATCTAAAAGCAGTTTACAGTTTACATCGGGACATCTGGACCTACCCATTCCCTTGCCACCTGTCCACTTCCCCTGACTTCACATCTTGTCTTTATACCATACAAAGAGGGCAGGAAATTGGGATAGAAATACTTAGCTTACTTTTTGCTCTTCTGGAATGCCACCTGCAGGTCTCTGCAGCTAAAGAAGTTCCCCAGGGCTCTGGTAAACTGAGAATGGAGTGGTGCCGTGCGCCCTCTGGTGGTCATATGTAGTACTTCTAAGAAGGGGGACTCTGCCATCTCCCAAGGAACTCTGAACACATATATGTGAAATTACAGAGTGGGAGACTGTAATTTCCGATTAGATAACACCCAGAAGGATTCTAGTCCTTTCCTCATCCCATGATTTTGTGCCTTCGGATCATGAAATTGCCGGTGTCAAAGGCTTCTCTGGTGGTATGCACTTAGGAGGTGCCTAGAAATCCCGATTATCCTCTTCCTGCCTAGCTGTTGGCCACCCAGCTCTTTATTAAACCAGTCTGAAGGTGCCTTGGCAAAGACACATCTTCACGTTGTACAAAAAGAGTATCCCACAACAGAAAGCTCACAATGATGGGAAAGAAAACCAGCTCAATGGTTATAGAACAAGAAAGAATTTCCACGGCTAGAAAAGAGCTACTATTGCCCTGCGGGGCCCTGGAGAGGCTGCTGACAACCTGCGTTTGATTCTTGGGACCCACATTGTGGGTGAGAGAACTGACTCCCTCGAATTGTCCTCCCACTTCCGCATGTGTGCCGTGACACGTGCACCCAAATACGTCCACACGTGCAGACACACCTCTTATCTGGTTCCTTCTGAATCCTCCAGTGACCTCGGAATGAGGGACCTGAGGGGCTGCTTCGGGGACAACCAGGAAGGAGAAATCTGTGGTGTAAAGCTGAATCACAGAGCCGTTGAACCAGGTTTGGGATGGAAGCAAAGCCACAGGGGAGGACTTCGGGCCACTCAGGCAGCCTGGCTTAGGCCACGCTCCCTGGAGCAGCTTTGGATGTTTTCTGTGCTGGGGAGGCTCGGAGAGCCCAGCTGGGATGGGGCATCTGCATTCTAGAGCTGGAGACCCCAGAAGAGCTCTAGGAGTCTCTGAAGGAAGAACTCTAGGGTTCTGTGAGGCAATTCCTACTGGGGGAGCCACTTTGGACTCCCCTGGAACATAGGCCTGGAGCA